TGACACACTATAGGCAAAGCAACAATGAATGAACAGCAATTATAACATCAATTCAACTATGCCATTTTAGTAAACATTATTCCTGAGGCTATTAGAACTGATAGATGACTTAGATTTTGATGTGGAAACCTATTTTTAATAATAGTGATTTTTGTGCAAAACCCCAGAGATTGTTTGGCCCACATTCCATCCTTGGTCAACATGGCGCTGTTTCAGATTGGAAAACAATGGTGAACTGGGTAAAATTATTTAGGATGAAGGCTTAAAACTTAAAGATAACCGGTGGGTGCCGCAAAACCCTTTGTACACCAGCAAATTATGAAAAAGTCCAAAAAGATTTGCCAGGAAACTTTTGTTGTTTTACGTTGCCTCTTTTTTTTGGGTGGGGGTGGGGGGATTCTGATAAGCTACTTGAAGTTCGAGGTTTTTAAAAGTCGCCCATGGATTTGCTTGAAGCTAAGAATTTTCCAAAAACTAAAAGTGATTTCTGAAGAAATGCTGGAGGAGTATTTGATGGAGTTTTCAAGTGACTAAAAAGGAATGTCAAGTAGGACAAGGACGTCACTTGCGCAGGATTTTGTTTTCAAGAAATGGAAAAATGACTTTGTTAAGTTAAAATGGCAATAGAGCTGTCTTTTTATGTGCTATTTATATCCATTGGGCGAATATTATTGAGTTAGTACTATTTATAAATTGGGTCGCTTTCATTGTCTCGCCCTGTATGAGTATACAATGTGATACAACACCAGTAAAATATAAGAAATGTTTTACTTTACGCTTTAAAACAATACAGTACAACTGAAGCCCCGGAGTGTAACCGCGAGTTGCATGTTTATCATTAGATACAGAGTTGTCAGTTTGGTGGCGTGTTATGATAGTTGGCAGATTTAATGGACAATGGCCGGGATTATCGGAGAGTTTTCCAGTGGCCGGGATTGGTCGAGCCATTACCATTTCAATAGTCGGCCGGGATTTGTCATTTCCAATTAAAGTGATCGTGCAGGGGGGGATGGGGCCAATTTGCTGCATGAGTGTCTAAGCGAGTGTGTTGTTAGATAGGCCCTGCACAGATAAGGCGATCTCTTTCCCATTTCTTTTCAGTACTTCCTCAAATGACCCTTGAAATTTATAAAATAAATCATTAATATGGTTACTGGCGTATAGTTTTTGCATTGCAGAATGATTCTCCGCTTACCATAGCAGTTTAATTAAATTTAGAAAACATTTTTTAAAATGCTAAAATTAATTTGTATTTTTTAGCGAATTTTTCATATATGGGAATAAGTTTACCGTATGTCTCATTGTTAAGACCTGGACCTGGAATGATCAGACGATGGGAACGGGGAATTTATAGGGTTAGATTTCGGTTTTCCTATATAAGTACATCGGACAGTTAGGGAATATTCGAGTGGGAATCTAGCAGGGAAATTCGCTTAGTCTGCAGGTTTGCTGTGGCGGGGGTATTTACAATTTTCATGAGTGTATGTCTCTTGTTATGTTCCATGGATGTGCATTATAATATATATTTGAAATAAAAGTTAAATTAGAAACATAAAAGAAATATATATTTCTAACTAGTTATAGACTTGGAGTAGCAACGTATAAATGTTTCCATTATACTAACTTACAAATTTTCTCAGCAAATCTTGTAAACTTAAAATATCGAACATTGTGGAATTGTATAGTCTATTAATCAAATTCCTCCGAGCTACGTCAGTAATCAGAGCCTCAGATTCACACTGGTCGGAGGTAAAACTATATGTTTATGGTACAAACTAGAGCTGAGACCAACAGCGTATTTGGTTGACCACCTTCGATGTTCCAGACAATTGTGAACATTACCGGTGTTTATTTAAACAATAATTTTGGGAACGGTATAAAAATCCGAGTGAAAAATTAGTATGCAATGTAGGACATTGCAGTACTGCAGAATGTTCCAACTTAACACTTAGCGTGTATCTTTATAACAATAAAAATCTATAAAGGGTGTGATGTACCTTTGCCGCATTTTCCTCCGCATAAATGCAAATGTTTGTAGGAATTACGTTCCCCAAAAATATTCCAAATTTTCGCAAAACATTTCAACTACTAACATATAGCTTATATTTAAAGAATAAACAATATTTATGTAGGTACTGTACAACTGAGAATCGATTTTGACCAGGAACCAGAACCGCATCACTAGTAATACAAGTTTTTACTAAATAATTAAGATAACATCCTGCGTTTGAGGTGTAATTTCAACTATTACCTCTTCGTAGACGCAATTAGACACTTTTACGTTTTTATTTCTTTGTGAAAACCTAATGAGACGTATTTAATTTGTATACCTCTCCGATTACGAAGTGGAAAAAATCATTTACTAAACTAATATAACTATTTGGCTTAAGTATAAAAGTTTTGCATCAGTTTAGAACTTCGCCAAACTGTCCAGAAATGTAATTCGATAAAAAGCTAAGTCTTGTTGCCAGTTTAAGTCCAGCCGTGGAAAAGTGTTGTCGGCAACTTGCCCGGAGGGACATTTGGAATCTCTCATGTTTAATGCATTTACACATAGCCAGTGTGCTTGTGTGAGTTTGTAAATGTACGTTTGTGTGTCTGTCTGTATTTCCCTTTCTCTTAAGCATTCCACTTCTTTAACATTTCACTCCTATAATGCCAACTCTCCCCTCCACTGATCATGTAATTTCCCAAAGAGCAGGAAAATAAATGTTTTCGTAAAAGCTTTTCGAAAAACTCTCTGTGATCTCTATTGAAGTAGCCAACATTCATCATTAGTGCCTGGGGAGTGGGGACCGTGCTTTGCCCGGAGAAAACCATTAGTAATATATCCAAATTGTCTTTCGTAGCCTATCTGTAATCAGTAAAAAATGTATGTTTGTAGTTGATTGTGTTCTTGTAAGCAACAGTTTTGATTCTCATGTACAGTTGTATTTTTTTAGCTAGAAGCAGTTAAGGTGTGTTGGAATATCTTTGAAGATGAACCTATTTTGCTGTAGTGCGATCATGTTATGTATATGTATGTGTCAAATTTTGAGTTTAAATCAAAACAAACTACTTGAAACCCAAAAGGCGGGAAGATTTAAAAATCAAAACTACACGTAAATCATCATTACTCTACGTCCCAACAGTTATTTTAGGTGTATCTCAGTTACAGCAACCACATTATTCTATTATTATAATGATCAAAATTCATTATGCAAGAAGATTCAATATTTGCTCATATAATTAACTATTTTCAAAGCAACCATCACTTATAATTTGGAGACAATAATTAAATAACAACTTATTCATTAGTTGATTTGGAATTAGGAATCACGTCTCTATTTCACAGTAAATATTCTCTAAATTTCCAAATACTTTAATAAAAGTAGGCTAGAGTAAGTTTAAAGTATATTAAACTATTGTCAATTCCAATATCTGCTAGTTTGTTTGTTTTGATTTAACCTCAAAATTTGACACATATGAACACATGATCGCACTAGCAAAAAAGGTTCATCTTCAAAGATATTCCACCACACCTTAACTGCTTCTAGCTAAAAAAATCCAACTGTACTGTTGATACATATTTCCAAAGACTGTCCCTATTTAATCCAGCTGATCAGTTAATTATTTGTTGTTGTTTTTATTTATGTTTATGTGAAGTTATTCAGTAATAAATATACACTACACAGTCAACATTATGTGCACAATTTAATTGTATTAAATTAGTTAAAGTACATAATATTGGCGACGAGGAAAACAAAATGACTGAAGAACAGACGCTACAGAAACTAATCAAAGCAAGAACGGTTGTCAAAGGCCAATTTACACGAGCAAACAGATTATTAAAAGGCAACCCAACAGCGACAGAACTAAATGTAAAGCTCAAAACTGTTACCGAATACTGGTCAAAGTACAAACAAATACAAGATGAAATAGATTCACACACAGATTTGGGTGAGCTTAGTAGAGAAATTGAATGCAGATGCAACATGGAAGATGAATATTTACAGATTACAACTACACTTCAAGAAATGATGCTAGCTGTTGAACAGAAAAACTCTTACACCTCTTCATCTTCATCACCCAGTACACATTTATGTAACACATCAGGGAGAATTAATTTCACACCATATCACCCCGAAGAAACTTTCACAAACTTCATAAGAAGACTGGAAGTATTTTTGTATCTAAATAACCAAGAACCTGATAATAAAGGTAAAGTATATACACTACTACATGCCCTAACACCTCAACTACATCAACAACTCTATGATGTTTGTACCCCTGAGGACCCTTTGGACAAACAATATGATGACTTAGTGCAGCTCTTGAAAGAATTTGTGGATCCTCAGCCAAGTCAATGGGCTTTACAACAGAAATTTATTTCGCGGAATCAAATGGAACATGAAACAGTGAATGAGTTTTCAGTTGCTCTTAAGAAGATGACTGTAAATTGTGAATTTCATTGTTGCTGTGGTAAATCTGTTGCAGACCTATTTCTAAAACTACAGTTTATCCGGGGGTTGAAAGACGTAGACATTCGAACTAAACTATTACAAGATCGTGAAAAACGAATGTCTCAAGATTTAGTAAACATTGCTTCAGCAATGGAACTTGCAAAATCAGAAAGTAAGACTGTAAGCCATAATACGTTGGAAAAAAGTGAATTGAATCAGATTAAGTATACAAATAATAACGAAAAAAGTGTTAAGCCAACACAACTGAAATCCTCACTGAACAGCCCTAATTTCAAAACAGATTTTGAAAAGCTCAAAGGAAAATGCTATCGCTGCGGTTCACCATCTCATCGGGCACATGAGTGTCGTTTTCAGGAAGCAACGTGTCGAAGGTGTAACAAAGTGGGACACATTGCAAGTGTATGCATGCAAACAAAAAGGCAGATGCAAACAAAGTACAGAAATCATCAAACAGAATATGAAACTGAAGAAAGTAGTGAGAATGAATTTCACATTAATGTCATCAACAGTAGAAGCAATGACAAATTTATCGTAAACATGAAGATTGAGGGCAAAACAGTACCAATGGAACTAGACACGGGTGCAGCCCTCAGCACTATGTCCTACAAAGACTTTAAGAAGTTGTCAATTCCACAAAAGGTATTTTCAACCAACGTTGAACTTCGTACATACACAGGGAAAACTATTAAGCCAAGAGGTGTAACGTTTGTGAATTGCATGTACAAAACGCAAAGATTTGTCGGGAAACTATTTTTGATTGAACAAAATGTCGATGCAATATTTGGTAGAGATTGGCTTAGGGAAGTCAAATTAGATTGGGGTGAAATAAAAAGTCTAGAAATGAATCAGACATCAAGTCTAGGAAACATGTTGAGCGACTTTAGTGATGTATTCGATGGAAAAATTGGAGTCATACCTGATCATTTAGGACAATTAAGGGTCATGGATGACGCGAAACCGATATTTGTGAAGCCAAGACAAGTGCCATATTCTCTAAGGAGTGAAATTGAAAAGGAACTCAAGAGACTAGAAGAATGTGGAATAATAACCAAAGTAGATCACTCGGACTGGTACCCCCATCGTGCCTGTTGTCAAGCCAAATGGTCAAGTGCGCATTTGTGCTGATTACAAGGTCACAGTGAACAAATTGATCAAGGATGAAAACTATCCTATTCCTAGAATTGAGGACATTTACACCCAAATGAATGGAGGCAAACTATTTTGCACATTGGACATTTCTAATGCCTACCTTCATATGAGGATGGATGAAGAAAGTGCTCATATGCAAACACTTAGCACGCATAAAGGGATGTACAAAGTAAATCACTTAATGTTTGGAGTCAAAGTAGCTCCTTCCCTTTGGCAGCAGTTTATGGACAAAACTTTACAGGGGATTCCTGGTGTACAGTGCTTTTTCGATGACATCATTATTCAAGGTAAGACAGAAGAAGAGTTACTAACCAGACTACGGACTGTACTAGAGCGAATGAGATCCAAAAACTTAAGACTAAACAGAGACAAGTGCAAATTCTTTCAAAGAAGTATCCAATATTTGGGACACACCATTGATGCTCAGGGACTACACAAATCAAAGGAAAAAATTTCTGCCATCATGAACAGCAAACAGCCAGAAAATGTAAATTAATTGAGAAAGTTCCTGGGATTGGCTAACTACTATAATAAGTTCATTAAAAGTTTGGCCACAATCCTTTACCCACTTAATGAACTGCTACGGAATGGGGAAAAGTACATATGGACAACTAAATGTGAAGAGAGTTTTCAGAAAGTTAAATCAGAAATAACTAGTGACAATGTACTTGTTCACTATGATCCAGATCTTCCCTTAGTGCTTGCAACAAACGCGTCACCGGTGGGCCTTGGGGCCATTCTCTCTCACAGATACAGTGATGGAACTGAAAGACCTATTAGTTTTGCTTCACGTACTCTGACTAAATGGGAACAAAAATACAGTCAGATTGACAAAGAAGCAACAGGTATATACTGGGGCCTCAAAAAGTTTTTCCCCTATTGTTACGGACGTAAGTTCATTCTAGTGACTGATCACAAACCGTTAGTATCAATATTTCATCCAAACAAGACTCTGCCATCAATCTCAGCAACGAGGCTGTTCAATTACGCACACTTCTTATCTGGATTCAACTATCAAATCGAATACAGGAAAACTACAGACCATGCGAATGCTGATTTTCTATCACGATTCCCAACTGAACACACTTCAATCAATCATGTGGATGACCGTAGTCTATTTCAAATCAGCCAGCTGGACTCGTTTCTAGTAGACAGTCAAATAATATCTAGAAAAACTGCTGAAGATAAGTTCCTACAATCAGTGCTACGTGCCCTTCAGACAGGGGAGTCTGTTGAACATCTGGGTTTTCATGACAATGAATTGACGCTTCAAGATGGATGTATATTTAAGGGTAATAGGGTAATAATACCAGAAGTTCTTCACCATGCTGTGCTTCAAGAACTACACGTTGGGCATCTAGGTATGGATAAAATGAAAGCTCTTGCTAGAAGCTATTGCACATGGAGAAACATCGACAAGGACATTGAACAACTGGTACGCACCTGTAAACAATGCCGCTTAAAACAAAACCAACCTGCTAAAGAAACCAATCATCCATGGCTGACTCCTCAAGGACCTTGGGAAAGAGTACACATAGACTTTGCTGTCCCAATGCAAGGACAATGGTATTTCATTATTGTAGACGCATTCACCAAATGGATTGAAGTGATCCCAACTAAAAACACGTCTACAGAATGGTGTATCAGGGAACTTCGGAAAACTTTTGCTACATTCGGTCTACCTTTAGTTCTAGTATCAGACAATGGGAGTCAGTTTACTTCTAGCACATTCCGTCAGTTCTTGTCTGCTAATGGTGTGGTGCACAAAACTACTGCACCGTACCATCCTTCCTCGAACGGGCAAGCCGAACGATATGTTCAAACAATAAAGAAATCATTAAAGGCAATGGAAGAAGAAGGAGGTAAACTAGATCTTAAATTATATAGGCTTCTCATGCAACTTCGTCAATCCCCTAACTCAACCGGGTCAAATGCTTACAGTTTAATATATGGAAGAGAGATAAGAACGCACTTAGGATTATTGCTTCCTCAATGTAACAAGTCAGCAAGAAGTGCAATGGCTGTGCGCAAAAAATTTCAAGTGGGGGACAGTGTACAGGCTAGAGACTACTCAAGTTCTAAACGGAAATGGTGCTTTGGAACTGTCATTGGAAGAGAAGGTACCCTCTTATACCAAGTCAAAATGGAAGACGGAACTGTGTGGAGGAGGCATATCGATCAGCTTCTAAAATGTGAAATTTAGGCGGGGAGAGTTGATACATATTTCCAAAGACTGTCCCTATTTAATCCAGCTGATCAGTTAATTATTTGTTGTTGTTTTTATTTATGTTTATGTGAAGTTATTCAGTAATAAATATACACTACACAGTCAACATTATGTGCACAATTTAATTGTATTAAATTAGTTAAAGTACATAATAACTGTATAAATGTTTTTTTTTTCAAAATAAACTTATCACACACTTTTATAGAAATTTCTATATTTCGGCATTAGCCTTCTTCAGGAACAAACACAATAACAAATAGAAGTGTTTACCACTCTGAATCATATGGTTTTAGCAAAAATCCAAAATACATATAATTTATGAAGAAGTAAAAAAGAAAATGTTTTGATAGAAAGAAAGAAAAAAATTTATATATATATGTATATATATATATATATAAATTTTTTTCTTTCTTTCTATCAAAACATTTTCTTTTTTACTTCTTCATAAATTATATGTATTTTGGATTTTTGCTAAAACCATATGATTCAGAGTGGTAAACACTTCTATTTGTTATTGTGTTTGTTCCTGAAGAAGGCTAATGCCGAAATATAGAAATTTCTATAAAAGTGTGTGATAAGTTTATTTTGAAAATGATTAAGCCGTTTGGCAATATTATGAAGAAACAATGTATAAATGTTTTTGTTATTTTTGCAACCAACCCACCCATTATCCAAACGTTTACAAAATATCCAATACTAAATTATATCAGCAAATTTAACATTTAATAAGACCCATTTGGAACTTATTCTTGAAGTAAATGTAAGTGTGTAAAAGTCGAACCATGCAGATCGTAACTAACATCATTGGTATCTCGAATTATTAACCCGTCCTCTTTCAGTTCCGGGATACGAGGTCCGTCTATTAACCGTCTAGTCAATCGCGCAAATGAATTTATTTTTTTACCCTGTTCATTTTGATACCAAATTTGAAGAGAATCGAATGATTTTTAAATCAGGATTTTCCAACCGAATACCTGCAGAAACTTGCCGTATTTAATCATCATTCGGCACTTGAGTAAGCGCGATTCTCTTTAGGAATGAGGAACTTCTCTGGAGACGACACTCTCTTTTCTGCCATGGCAGTTTCTGGATTAAATCGGTTCAAAGTCCACTTGTAGGTTTTCCACTTTGAACTGATCATAGCTAGGATGAAACTGATTATTATTTCTACAAAGTTGAATTAATAGTCAAAGTATAGTAGTAGTCAAAGTAGTAAGTAGTAGTAAAGTTGGATTCCACTCTGCTCACTTAGACCTTGTGGTGTAGTGAACGTATTATTCTACTAACCTGAAATGCCCAGTACGAGGTTTCGAGTCTTGTTGATAGTGGTGTCTTTATGATTCCAACTGTTACTAAAATAAGATTTTCTGTAAAAACTTTTGTCAGTACATGAGACACTTTCAATTTAAATTTGCGATAGTTTATTTATTTCGTCGTATATTTAATTTTGTTTTTGTGTATTCATTTCCAGAACAAATCAATTTGAGGAATCAATTTATAAAATTGAATAGGCATAGGGATATATTTTTATGAGAAACTGAAAGTAAGAAATATATCTTTCACCACTTAAAGGTATATTTAACCTCATACCAAATTATCTAAACGTGAATACTGTACACTCAAAATAAGAAGTGAAATATTAAGAAGGGTCAAATTCCATTTATTTATTGATTTTGTAAGCTGTCTACAATCGCGAGTAAGGAACTGCCTAAACACTGTTTATAGTTTTAGTATTAAATCAATCCACATTTTAATGTTGTTTCAACTTCAACATCAACAGTACAAACATTTTAAAATGATTACAGCAACTAGCAAGGGTTGTAGGTCAGAGGGTCCCAGGGTTACCCAGACAAGGGTCGGTCGTAAAATATTTGAGCGAGTGCGGTCAGAGGGTCCCAGGGTTACCCCTCATTAGCGATGGGACTCTCTGGCAACGCCAGCCAAGAGAGGATTAACGCGCAAGTCACTGAAATACCCCACACGTGGGGTTACTGTTGGAAATAAATTATTTTGCGTTTCAGTTGCATTACAACCTTTAATATATGCACAATTTACTATGGAGGTAAAACTCGATGTACTACTAGTTTCAAGGAATATATCTCTGGTTTATGTATTTTAATCAGTCTTGTTGAAATATCATAATTAATAACTGCATTGAGATTTAACTCTATCTTCCAATGAAAATGTATTAAACAAATGGAAAAATGCAAAAGAGAAAAATAAACAATCAACTATAAATAAAAGACCAATGTAACAACTGACACACTGTACTATATCTACACAATAATATTATACAAAGATCTAAAGGGGTCTGCTGTGGGTATGCTAATCAAGTACGTAAAAACTAACAAAAATAAAGTTACCATACCTCGGATCTGTTTAGGACTGTTCATGCTTCGATATCGTCCGAGGGCTTTGCTTGCTGATTGTTAATGAAATATATATTTAGTTTTTTATCTATCTATCTATCTATCTAAAATACTAATGTTCGGGTTAACACTGTTATGTATAACACGTTTAGATCATATAGAGTACAATAATAAAGTCGTGAAAAATAATAGCCTAATTTATTAAAAAATATATAATGATTACATAAGTTTAGATGGATTATTAGTACCACTTAATAATCATAAAAAGACGTCAAACAGTAAAACTAAAAAATACAACTATTTACAGTAATTGACATGAAAACAGAGAAAAAAACTACTGATATACTGTCTATAAACAAATAATGAAAATTTGAAGGAAATTCTATTTATTTTTAACGGTACAAGGATATGAATAATAATTATCAGTGTCAACCCGTTTTGATGACACTTGCAAAACTATATTAAAACAATTTAACTATATGTGAAGTATGTAGGGCCTACATGTGAAGATCTAAACTGATGCATATCTTAAAAAACTAGAATGTTTAAGAATTAACATTATACGAGAGTTTATACTGTTTAAAGTTATTTTGCAAAACTGTTAATCATATAATATATTAGAAAGCTATTTACATAGTGTAATCACCAGCTAAGTTAAATTAATATTACAACGAACACATAAAATACATCAAACAGTAAAACTAGAAATATACATCCTTGTGGAATTTGTGTTTATATTCTACCCTCGGCACGGGCAAAATAATAGCGTGAATAAAGTTAGTTTTAAAGAGTGTTTAGTTTTGCTGCTACGAAGGTAAAATGTGTTTTTAACGAACGTTTATTGTATAGGATGAAATAAATCAACTAACCAAATATTATCAACATAGAGAAACATGTAAACTACATCTCCACAACAATAACAAAGATATTTCAAATGTCGTCTTTTTTATTTTCAAGCTTTCTCCGTTACCTTTAGTACATTATACAACAAGTACCTAGGTTAGCTGCTTCAGGGAGGGCAATAAAGTGTGTTTTTTTATATCATGAAAATTGTTTTTAACTCACGCCCGTTCATCCCACCTTACACCTTCAAGCCAAATGCCATCATAATCGGACCAAAATTACCCAAGTTCTCGTGTTCGCGGACACCGTTAAAAGTATATCGGCCCCGGATGTAGGATTTAATGTGTCACCTACTACCTTATAGCTTACATCTTACTTCATTTTGCACTCACAGTGCATTCATTTTCAGCTTAAAATACACATTTAGGTGGGCTTAGCTCTCTTAAGTAATGAATCAATGAATTGCTTACCACGTTACTGTAAGATTACGGTTTATAAAATAATAAAAATTTAATTTCGCACGTTATTTGTTTAATAGTTACGTGTTCTATATTCTCTCGGCAGTACACGAATACTCGAACAGACTTTCTGTTCTCCTATTCGTGGCAACCTATTAAAAGCCACGAATGGTCTAATGATAGATGACGTTTGTTATAAAGCTTAGAAGAAATCTTTCCAATATCACACAAAACATCTTTAGTTTCGTATGAAATAGTTATTTGTGTAACTAGTGGGCAAAGTGGCACATTGCTGCACACGAGAATGATCTCGAGTGCAGCAAAGGCCTTTTGCACTCGTGTTACACATTATATTTTTCCTACAGTCACTATGAAGCATATAAATAATTAGTCTTTCAAACACTATACAACACGTTTTTAGGTTCAGCTGGCAACACAAATAGGTGCCCTAGAGAAAGTAGTACCCGGTCCGTATCACTCCGCTATTTTTCCTCGGCAAGAAATGTGCTCCGCGACTTGAGAATATAGTCCCGTATGTTTTTGTAATTTGAAGTGATTTCCGTGCCTAAAAAAAATGCTTTAAAGGTATTTACTTGTTTATTAAGATCGTAGGAATGTTTTAAAAACGTTTAAAAGAAAAGTCCAGAAAGTTCAGAAATGCCGAGACTATAAACACGAACTGACAGGTTAAATCGTAGTTATAATAGTCATCAGCTGCTCATAGTATTATTATCTTGTAGCGTTGCCAACTTATTTCCAAGCTCCGTATCACTCCGGATTACGTGCATAATAGAACCACGCTGTTTTGTGTTGTTTCGTTGGAATCCTGATGTGCGCCAAAGTATAAACCGTACGACAAAGTATAAACCGTACGACAAAGTATAAACCGTACGACAAAGTATATATATACAGCAATTAGCAGCTTTCTGTACTATAAACAGTACAAGGAAGCCAAATTTGTCGGGTGACTGAAGGAAGATTTATTTATTGAAATACTTTTGATAACTCCTTTATAAGATTTGGATAACAATTTTCATTTTATCTTATTGAAATGTGTGTATTTGCCTCTCCTGAATAAGAAAAATTAACTTGACCTTAGCGACAATAGGGCCCTAATTCCGCGTGCGTTATTCCAATTCTGCAACGAACGCAATCTTTGAGTGCGCCTTGCGCCCTTAAGAGTAAGAATTATACAATTCCAAACCCTTATTGCAAAACTACAAATTGAGACGAATCCTTTGACCCCTCAAACGTTGAAATTGGTCCACAGGCACAGATGAGGGAGGAGTAGTGTTCACAAAAAACT